CAGTCTTGGCGACTCTGTAGCCCAAATAAGTCACTTGGGGTGCCTGGAACAAACATGTTTTCCCTTCTAAGGCGTACACCGCCTGGAAGAAATATCTAAGTGCTGTGTCCAAGTTCTCTAAATGCTCTTTATTGGTCTTCCCTGAAATTAGCCCATCACCTAGATAAATGGCAACCTGGGATAACCTTGTAAAATGTTCTCCATTGTGTGCTGAAAAATTGCAAGACTGACAATACCACAAATGGCAATTTCCTACATTGCTAGAAACCCTTATGGGTATTAATTGTAGCAGACATCTGGGAATCCTCACTTAACCGCAACTGCAGGTACACATGGCTCATGTCCAGCTTCATCAAGGACAGCACCCCCGCCAGCTTTGTGTATAAATCCTCCACGCGAGGCACTGGATATTTGTCCAGCTGCGAGAAGCAGTATGCCATTTGTTTAAAATCCCCACAATGGTGAACTGACCCACTGGACTTCACAATTCGTACAACTGGGCTGGTTTCAGGATTCTTTCACTTTTCAGCCTTCAGATTTCCACTTCGACTTTTGCATGTAAGGCAAATGGCACTGGGCTGGCTATGCAGAATCATGGAATTTCAAAGTGGCCCTGGCTCCTTTGATAGTCCCTAAACCTTCCTGAAAAACATCTGAGTATTTAACTGGGACTTCACTCAGGCAGCCATTTTCTAATCGAAACAGTTGAGCCAATTTGGTGAATCTTTCTCAACCAATTACGCTCCATCAAGCTTGGGTCTCAGTCTTTTACTGCAGCCAGTGGTAACTGAACCAGCTACTTCTCATAAGAGATTGGAACAGAAGTTGTACCCTTCATCTGTAAATGTTCCCTGGTATTGGTTCTCAGCCTAGCCAAGTTCTTGCAGGGTTGGAGTCTAGAGCATTTTGTTAAAAACTGGTTCTGCAATCACTGAAAAGGCCACACCAGTACTGACCTCCATTAGAACAGGGCAACCATTTACGGAGACATTTATTTTGTTTGGTTCTGATTTGGATGTTGCTAAGCAATTTAACTGTTCCAGGTCGTGCACTCTCCTGGATGCCAGCCTATAAGTTGTCCTACTCAATTCAGTTCTACCGGGACGCTTTTGCTGTCTCAAGTCTGCAACTGGCAGCAACTACAATGGCTTGCTGGTCTGGATCCTGAAGAAAATTTTAAGAGTTTGGTTGAGGCTTGGCTTTGTTTCACGGTTTGGCTGTAAGTTGACCTAGAGTCCCTCTCTTCAGGATATGTCCTGAGTGAGGCTATGAAATTGCCTTCACTCAGGTGGTGTTTACCTTCCCCAAGCTCAGTTGGACTGGCAAGGGGGTTCAGTTCCATCGGGATATCCTGCGACTCATATGCTGCACTTGCCACATTTTCCAGTTGTAGTGCCTGTTTGAAGTCCAGTTGGGCTTCAGCTAGTACGCACTTTTGCACGGTATCATCAATAATCCCACATAACAAACAGTCACTCAGCATCTCATTAAGGCTTAAACCAATGTCACATGCCTCTGTCAGTCGTCTTAATCTCATCAAAAATCCCAATACGGATTTCCTGCTTCTCAAATTGCTGAGTAAAACCAATAGTGTCTCAGAATTAGAGGATGCTTGAGGTCGTAATATTTCTTAACTAAATCTGTTCAACTCTTAAAGGTTTTAGTATCTGGTGCCTCAGCAGAAGTCAGATGCCTAATAAGTGAAAAAGCTGCAGGTCAATATGCTGTCAGGAGAATTACTCGTTGCTTTTCATCTGCCCCAATCTCACCTTTCTTGAAAAAAACAATACATTCTTTCCGCATACTGTGCCCAGTCTTCGATGACAAACTTCCTACATAACGACATTATGCCAGAAATGCTTACCCCACCTGAGAGTTGTGACCTTTGAGAGTGAATTTCGTCAAGAGTGCTTTTTTTCTTATCATCCCTGAAATAACTCGAGAGGCAGGTATCCCATCACCAAGTCACTCTTTATTTACACATGGGGAGTCCTTGAGACTGATCCAGCTCCCTCACAGCTGCCTCAGAGTGTCGCAGGATGACTGACATTCCTGTTCTTATCTGTCAGCCATGGCTCCCTACTGAACCAGATTAACAGCACCAATCAGGGGACTCATATTCTGACAGGTCCACCTAGCTGACCTCGTTACAATCACTGCACTTCCTGTTTGGGAAAAGGCAAGTGTGAAGTGATGCATTTTGGAAGGAAGAATGACCAACAAAGCTCCCCCTACTTAATGTAGACACATTCATGGTAATTCAATTTGCCTGCTATACATAATAGCTGGTCTAACACAGAATTTCCAGGTGAGTATTGCTGTCACATAATGAATTAAATTAAAACTGTATACTTATACAAAATTAGAAAATACAACACAAAACAAATTTCCATAGTGGTACATGTCTAACAAAAAGGTAAATACATTTAAAAGGTTAAAATAGTTAAATTAACCAAACATTAACATGTTCATGCATTTATTTGTCTATTGATCTTTGTAATGTATTCTGTTAACTGACATTCTCACAGAATAGGTGTAATCTTGGAGGCTTTGTATTTCACATAGTTTACATTGCTTCTCTTCACATCACTAGCCTTAGAAGGTCGAACCTTGAATTTTGAAAGTTTCTCAGTTGCAGAGGGAGAAAGACTACTGTTAACTCAGCAGGTTGTGAACTTCTGGACTGCTGAGAAGAAGACATGGTGAAGTTTACCGGGATGCTACAAACGCTAGAATCTGTTGTCAGAGACGTCGGTTCAATTATTTTTTAAATACTTAAGTCCATATCACAGCACTTTGCCAATGCTTGAACAGACACTGAAAAATTATTCATAACTCTTTCATGACCACGGAAACCCGAAGAAAGTGAACAAACTTTAGATAGGTGAATTTGGCAGGGTTGCCTGTCCTAAACATAAATAACCAACTATTGACACAACATCCATTTTGCAGGCCTAGTGAGCCTCAAACGCAATTTCAAGTAGGTTTAAGGGTATCCAAGTACGATTTCATGCAGTATTATTCAGGTCAACAGAAAGAAAGGAAAGTAACTCTCCTATAAGCCAGGGCTAGAATTAAACATAAACAAAAACAGAAATTGCTGGAAAAGCTCAGCAGCTCTGGCAGCATCGGGTGCAGCAGGTCTTTCAGTTTTTATTTGGAATTAAACATAGGTCATGAGCTGAAACATCAGAGATATTACCAAGATTCCCCTCGAATTTATTTATTTTACTTCAACCTCTCACTTGTAATTTACTTAAATTGGTAAATTGGTATCAGCAACTTTTTTGGGGGGGGGATGTAGGTTCTGCTGTTGCAGCGGTTATGAAAGAGCAAAATATGGTGATGAGTGCAAGTATGAAGTGATAAATTTGAAACAGGAGTACAGACTTCAGTGATGAGTTGGATGGTCTCCGAACAAGGTGTAAGGAAGTAGAGTGACTCTTTGCATTGGCTTAGTTTCGGGAGGGTCTACTGATCATGGCAAAGTGACTTTTGAGGCAAATAGCAACTTGTACACTTCTTGAAAATACAGGTACCCCATTTCTTTCTTCCTTTTCAATATATTTTTTAAAGTTTATTGATCTGACCAAGTACCCTTCGTGCAAAACAGATGTGCAAATATCCACAGGAAGTAGGCTCACACAGGCACATTTCCTGCCAAAACTACGCCCGACATATTAGGCATAAATGTCCAGAGCTCAGGACCGAAATATGAACTAAGGTCACAACCAACATTCAGGAAGCCAAGCACGTCCAGAGCTCAGGACTGAAACACGAACTAGGCTCACAACCAACATTCAGGAAGCCAAGCATATCCACATCCTCAAAGTAACTGTGAGAGGCTGCCTCAACAAAAATGGAATTTTAAATAATATATAGTTACTTGAATGTGGAAACAAGACAAGTGTTTTTTCACACTCTACAACAGTCATGAAGACCAGCTGACGCTACCAAATTAACTCCTCCCTTTCAGAGGCCAACAAAGTAGCTCAAAATTTAAAACCCATTCACTGAAGACCATAAAACATAGCAGCAGAATGAGGCCACTGAGTCTACTCCACCAGTCGATTATGGCTGATTATGTTTCTCAACTCCATTCTCTTGCTTTCTACTCATAACCTTTGATCCCCTTACGATCTGTCTGTCTTAAATACACTTAATGACTTAGCTTCCACAGCCTTCTGCAGTAATGCATTCCACAGATTCACTACCTTCTGGCTGCAGAAATTCCTCCTCATCTCAGTTCCAAAATGTTGTCCTTTCACTTTGAGGCTGTGCAGGAGGGACTATTAGCTCACCACACTGATTTAAATGAGGCCCCACATTATGTCTGCCTTGTGTCTAAAATGTCTCAAAGAAGAGACTGTTCCCTGTTCCAAGTTTGCATCTGCAAGCTAGCATGATTTTCAATTTCTTTGTCACTGAATGACACAGCAGGCTCAAAAGGCTCTGTTCGCACGTTCTGAGCTGCTACTAGTCTGCATTTCCCCAGCACTGTTTTTATTCCACACATGTATTTGCTAACAAAGATCATTGTGGACTAGGCTCTTCTCTCTCTACTTAACCCAATTAATGGATGCATTCCCAATCTCTTAGTAAAACTAAAATTTCAAGTGAGAGTAGAACCTCACACTTTTAGCACTCAGGAGCCTGAATCTCAAGTAACAGCAGCATTCATGTAAAAGCAACGTTGAAAAAAAGCATTGAGGTCATTTAGACATGAGGGAATCATTAAAAATGGAATTTTGCTATGCCAGCCCTGCACCAAGCAAAGTTTATTGGGAGGATGGAGACTGTTTGCTCCAGCCTTCAGATTTCACAATCATTCAGCAGAGTAGATAAATGCCTCATTAGAATTGTGAACAATCATTAATTTTCTTTTGGAGAAATACATGGGATTAATAGATTTTTGTTAATAATATTTTAATTCCAATGGATTATGTGCAAAATACACACTAGGCAAAGCCGAAAATACATAAAACAAGTACATGAAATACCTATTCGGCCTTCATTTTGCATATCAGATCTCTTGTATAATTCAGGGAGGGCTTTTGCTGAAGAGCTTCCAAACTAGAAAGAAACACAAAATATGGACAAAAATTATAGAGGAACACAAACTACACATACCAATTTTCTTCACCATGCTGTAAGGATGCATAAATGGTCTTGCACGTTAGAAGATGAATGCAATGGCAGATATCCAGAAAACAGAATTTTGCTTTCTCAAGTTCCATTTCAGGATTCAAAGACCAAAGACATAAACTTTCTGCAGAATGTCTTATTTAAACATCACTGAAAATAAATATCAAAGTAAACCTTTCAGTTTTTTGTATCATTTTCCAATAATACAGGAGTAGGGGTATACCATTCGACCCTTAGAGCCTGCTCCACCATTCAAAATGGCCACGGCTGATCACCCAACTCAGTATTCTGTATTCACTTTATCCCCATGTCTTCTGGTCCCTTTAGTCCTAATAATTATAGATATATCTTTCTTGAAAGTATTCAATATTTTGGCCTCAACAGTTTCCCATTGCAGAGAATTCTACAGGCTCACAACTCTCTGGGTGAAGCTATCCCTCCTCATCTCTGTCCTAAAAGACATACCCCTTATTCTTAGACTGGTACCCCTGGTTCTGGGCTCCCCAGTCATCAAGAACATTTTTCCTGCACCTATCCTGTTTAATCCTGTTAAAATTTTATACCATTCTATGAGATCCTTCATGCTCCCAAACCTCAATGAATATCGTTCTAATAGATCTAGAATCTCCCCATATTTCAATCTGACTATCCCTGGAAACAGCCTGGTAAGCCTTCTCTGCAGTCCCACAATAGCCAGAGCATCCTTCCTCAGATAAGGAAGTCAAAAATACACATAGTACAATACTCAAGATGTAAAGGTTTCTCTCTCCACAGATGCTGACTGACCAGTTGAGTTTTTTCAGCATTCCCTGTGTTTATTTCAGATTTCCAGCATCCACAGTACTTTGCCATTATTCAAGTATACTGTACAAAGCAATCTTGAGCTCGAAACGCACAGGATAGCTAACATCTACAGATGTCAAGCTTGATCATCTTCTGACTGCAGGTAACTCGGTTGTAATAGTTTACTGATTAACATCAAGCATTGGTCAAGATAAAGATGAAGGCCTCCATGAATTACCAAGGGTGATAAGAGGATCGAATTATTCTGCACTGTATTGTGGCTCTCTGGTATCTCTTCATGCCTAATCCCCAGATTTGGGGCATCTTCCCCATCCTCTCACTGCAATCAGTTTCTAGAGTTTTTGTCTTTCCAAGCACTTTCAGAGAAAGCCCATAGTTTTCTATAATCTTCGTTTCCAGCAGTTTTCTGCTTCTGGATGCTTCTCTCAAGTCATTCACTGCTTTCTCCCTGGACCTGACTTTCTGAAGACTGCTAATCTAACTGAACCTTTTTGCCCTGATTGAAGCTACACACGCTGCCTGACTTTCTGGATAATTCTGACTTTCTAATGGTACTGGATTTCTTGTCACTAGGCAACAGTCTTTTTTCCATATGCTTTTTTCCATAATACACTGAAATATTTACCTCCATGCCTTTAAATGCTCAATAAAAGATCCATGCATCAAACTTCAGACACCCAGTACCTCTCACTAAGCAAACCCGAAATGAAATTAAAGACATGACTCCTCTTCTTACTGCATATAACATAGAAACTAAATTAACTAATTAAGTAACTAAATTATAATAGTAATAGGTTTCTGTTTACAGTCTTAATTTTTAAGACTCCATTTATATTCTTTAATTTCTATTCCTTTAACTGATTTTCTGTTTTAAAACAAATATAACCTATATTGGAAACAGTAAGGACTGCAGATGCTGGAAACTAGAGTCAATAAATGTGCAGCTGGAAAAGCGCAGCAGGTCAGACAGCATTCAAAAAGCAGGAAAGTCAACATTTCGTCAGGGCCTGTGCCGGTTCTTTAAAACACATGACAAATATCCTTCTCACCTGATTTTTTAAGGCTTCTGGGTGTAAAAGCCATTCTTAGAAGCTAGCAAGAAGCAACTTTGAAACACAATTCGTTCAATGGCTAAAAAATAAATCCAAAGGCTAATCAATTGTCAAAACACAAACACTGACCTGGACACGTAATTTTCAATCTACTTTAAGCATTAGAAGCCTAAATCAGAAAGAGTTGTCTCCTGTTACCTATGGCATGATTGTCCCATTTGAGACAATTTGTTTGCAATCCAAGAATGATTGATATAATGAACCAAAAACAGAAGTTGCTGGAAAAGCTCAACAGGTCTGGCAGCATCTATGAAGAGAAATCAGAGTTAACGTTCCAGTGACCCTTCCTCAGAACTAATAATGAGCCATTTAATATAATGTGTTATTGCACAGCACAATGAAGTTTTATATAAATTTTACTTCTGTTATTTCTGTCAAAGATTTGTGATTCACTCCCCCAGAGTGCAGAAGGACACAAGATAAATTTAAGGAGGAGACAGACAGATTTTTAATTAGTAATAGGTTGAAGGGTTGTGGAGAGCAGCTGGAAAGTGCAGTTGAGGCCAAGATGAAATCAACCACGATCGCACTGAATGGCACAGCAGGCCCAAGGGGCAGTACTGCCTACTCCTGCTCCGAGTTCTCATGTTCTTAAGTGCTGGACATCTACTACTTCTACACCTACATTTTATGCATTAACTGCAGACTCTATATGCTTTAATAATTAAAATCTAAACATCCAAATGCACCAGTTAAACACATTTTCAGATCACAATTTCTAAAATAGTACATTTTAAGGCTTTGAATTACAATCCACATACTAATTTAGCAATCTACATTGAATAAGGATCTATTTTACATATTTTTTCCAGATCTATTGCCATGTTTATTGTACTAATCTGGAGCTGAACGTTCTCGCCAGTTGGCTTCTGCTTCACACCATAAATATTGAAAGCATAAAATGCTGAATTAAACAAACTTATGTTTTCAAAACATGGCAAGTAGCAAATTTGATCTTTTGATTAATTTCCATGCTACCATAAAGTATTGTGGCACTAAAGTAGAGATGTTACAGAACCCTCTATATCTCTTACACACTAACCATCCATACATATATACCAGCTCGTGGTTGCAAATTTTAATAAAGCTTTTCATTTGTGTTTAACCAGTTCAGTGTTGCTTCTAAAAACAGCCTAGTACTATGCACAAACAATATAAATTTCTGGATCCCTGTACGTGAAAGAATGGATTGATTTTAAGTAGAATTAAAAACTGAATAATTAAATAATATTTCAATTTATAGTACTGATCACCAGTTTTGTGTATTATATAACTGATTGCATTTGTTGGTTCAAGAAACTCATACAATAGGAATCAATTTGAAGAAAGTTTGAATTCTCTTGGTAATTGCATATTTAATCCTAGCAAAACCAAGAAAGAATGTAACTTTCAACAGGCCCATTTAGGGGATTTACAGTGGTGGCCAAAATTCTCTCATTAGAAAAATATCTCATAATAGCGAGAACATTAAATCACCCTCCTTGGTTACAATAATAACAATCAGCAATTCAGATTTATTGCAATATTTGACAGATATCTGCATTTTGAACAAGGTGAAATATCAAACAGACAATAGAAGAGGTAGGTGTTGGGATGCTGAAATTTTACAAAAGTCTGAATCAGAGTTCTTTTGGCAGTGGGAGGCTGAAGTGTGGATCGAGAGGAGTAATTTTGCACTAGGTGAGGTAAGAAAATGAGAATGATGAACCTCAGTGGATGGGTTAATTTACTGCCAAATTTATACCATTTTCAACGTAAAGCAGGTGGCAAAAGATGGGAATATCAAGAGTGTCAAGGAAGCAGATAACAGACACTATGAACACAATTCACTCTACAGGTCTTCAAGATCTGTGAAGTGAAAGCAGAGTTAATGTTTCGGGTCCCAGCGACCCTGCTTTGGAACTGATTTGACAGGTTTGGGGGGAAGGTGTAGAAGAGGAGGAGGTGGAGTCCAGAGAGAGAGAACAGAACTTTGACAGACAAAGAGTTGAATAATAACGACCCAGGGAGAAAGAAAAGCAAATCATTAGTAAGTGAAAATGGGTTGGCAGTGATGAAAGCAGCCCATGTCATGACAGGGCCAGGGACGTGGGAGTGGGTAAAGGACACGGAAGGTGTTCAGGCTCTAAAATTATCGAATTCAATATCAAGTCCTGAAGATTGCAGGGTCCCCAAGTGGGAAATGAGATGCTGTTCTTCCAGCTTGTGCTGAGCCTCACTGGAGCACTGCAGCAGATCCAAGACAAAAACACTGACCAGGGAAAACTGAGGTTTGTTGAAGCGGCAGGCGATCGAAAGCTCAGGATCATTTTTGCAAACGGAATGCAGGTCCTCCACAAAGTGATTGCCCAGTCAGTCTTTTATCTCCTCAAGTTGTAGTGACCACATTAGGCTAGTTTTTTTTGTCTTTCTTAAAAGCTTGTCTGAGAACATGGAAAGGCCTCTGTAGTTGGGAGAAGTAGCAGGGATATCAAACTAGATGTCATCAGTATTCAGATGCTAGATGGTCAAGTTTCCATGTTTACTGCTGCCAGGAAATATGATAAAGATTCTGAAAAGTGGGCAAGGACATATGTTTGGAGACAAAGATGATGTCTGTGGCCTCCCCTTGGAAGACAGTCTTGGACCAAATGCCATAATCTCACAGCAAAGGGCCACCCATTTGAGACAAAGATGAGGTTTTTTTTCTCTCAACGTGTAGTAAGTCTGAGAAATTCTTTACCACAGAGAACAGTACAGGTTGGGTTGTTATGTACATTTAAGGCTGAGATAGGTAGATTTTAATCAGCAAGAGAATTAAGGGTGGTGGGGAAAAGGCATGAAAAGTGAAACAAGGATTATTAGATCAGCAATCTTCTTCAATCTAAAATCCTCCATCCCTGGAACTACTCTGGTAAAGCTCCTCTGCATCCTCTCAAGGACTCATGCATCCTTTCTGAAGTATGGTGAACAGAAGCAGACACAATACTTCAGTGGTGGCTTAACCAAGACTTAAAGTTAGGCTAATCCTTT